CACTCATATTTGGGTCTTCATTTGCATTACCCGTGACCTCTATGAGAGTTTTCCTTATTAGCCATCATAACTCATGTGATTGAGACCAAAAAGCCTCATAAGAGACATTTTAGATTTAGGATTGCATTTTTCTTGTTTTCATCCATTAGTCATATCCAACATGCAACGCATACTTTGGATAGAAGAATTAGGAAAAGAAGGGTTAAGTCACGCAACTAGTTTTGGCTAGGGTAAGGGAGTGCCTTAGGCTTTACCTTTGCCTTCTCCCTTATCAAATGTGACCCCCGATCCTTTCTTTGTTTACGTAGACCTAAAAATTCTTTAAAAAGGGTTTGTTTACTTTTCTTTCCAAAAACAAAATCACTTTTTGGGTGACTTGGTACACCCTAACCCTATACCAAGTGGCGACTCCTTTTCTATCTAAAACCCTTTGTTTGGCCAAACCGTCGCATTTCACAATCCCACGGCCTCTTATTTTCACTTTCACACACGTTCACATACATATCCTACACACTACTTTCACACCTCAAAAAGTGGGGCGCGACAGCTTGGCGACTCCACTGGGGAACTCCTAAGTGGGTCCAAGCATTTGATTTAGCCATTCTTTTACGTTTTTTACACTTGTTATGCGTAGCATTTGGATATTAGGGTTGCATTTTGCATTTTAGGACCTTTTGCCTTGCGCGCGTATCAAACTACTCCCTCACTCACGTATGTATGATTGATTGCTTGGATGTATGTTTTACTTGTTTTATCTCGCGCTTTGCATTGCATTTGGGAAGGGGGTGTGTCACTTTTAGAGCCTCGCGTTGGGTCTCAACCCTTTCCCTCAAAATAGGGAACACTTCATACGTGCACGTTTATTTACTGTTATCCCATTTTATTTTTATTTTCGTGGGCTCTTTCCCACACCGCCTTGTAGGACTAGGAATGGTTTCTCTAGATATGTGGATGGTGTGCTCTGCGCCCATAGCAGTACCTAGAGGATCGCTCGAGCCACCGACCGAGGGTCTTGGGATTGATGACCCATTCCCTTAGGTCTGAAGGCTTGGGAACCTTTTTTAAACCTTATCGAGTCTAGTTGCATTAGTGAGCCCAGCCTCATGCATCCATGTTAGAGTTCCTAGATTAGAGTCAGCCTCACCCTTTTTAAGCACATTAGGCACGAGGGAAAGGGTACCACCCCTTTTACATGCTTTTATTGTATTTCTTTTCTTAATTGCTCCCAATATGTTATGTGTACTATCAATTGCACTAACCATTTCGTTGTTTTTTTTGCTTGCATTCATGTGCCTTAGCAATAAGAGGCCTCTTTGGCTCTCTTTTAGTGACTTACCCACTAGATAACTCACATGTTTTAAATTTCAGTTATTATACTTAATTTTCAATAAGTACATTTCATTTTCAAACCTTTCCCCCCCGATGCATTATTTATGTCCTTTAGGCCATATTTGTTACATATTTACATCGCTTTAATAAATGGCATCATGCATTAAACTTTAAAAGGAATGCCATTTAGGCAATTCCATATTAGGGATGAGCCACTGCTATAATCCCATGGGTACTTAACCCTATTTTTGGGATCTGCACATTTACTCTTTTTGTAAATAACCTAAGGGGTAAAATCCCAAGGTAACGGTATCTAAGTGAATTCCCCATTCAGATGACGCAGTGTCGAATGCTCAACCAAGTCTCCCGAGAGCTAAATCAGTGGAAGAATAACCTATCTTATGAGATTGGAGGGCTATTCCAATATGTGGGGCATCTACCAAGCCTTGTCGACATAATACCCAATGTGTCTGCTATCCAAGCATTGATCAATTATTGGGATCCGGATGCCTCAGTTTTTCGGTTTGGAATGTGCGAACTCACCCCAACCCTAGAAGAGTTAGAGGGATTGTTGCAAATACCGGGAAAAGGCAGTTCTATGATATACCCGAGCAGAGGAACGAGAGAGCAGTTTTGCAGATTTTTGGGATTGAGGAACAATAGCTTAGACCAACACCTCGACGCTAGATCTTGTCCACTGAGGTTTTTATATGACCGGTTTGGGGAAAAGGAGTCTTTTGAGTGCCATCAGATTGATTTCTTTATAACAAGGGGGCAATGGGAAGAGAAGCGTGTGCAAGCTTTTGGTTTGGTTTTGATCAACTTATTGCTATTCCCTCAAAGACATGGAAAGGTGACATTTGTAACAATCAACATGATTCAAAGTCTTTTTTTAGGAATTCGTGGAACAACACCAACTTTGATACCCATTGTCATAGCGGACATCTTCTCAGCCCTTACCAATTGCCAAAGGAAAGGGGGTTTCTTCTATGCTTCAAATTTAATACTTCAAATGTGGATCATGGAACATTTGGCGAAGAGATCACTTAACCCTTTGGGTTCTTGTCTCTTAGTTGAGAATTGGATTGATTCACATCGAGAGAGAGTCAGCCGCTACTACCACATGATGTCGTCAAGCCAGTTTATTGAGGAGTTCAACAATTTGGCACCAGAAAAAGTGCAGTGGGTTCTAGATTGGACCAAGGTCAGGGACCCAGCTTTTAGGACCACTCAACATGACTTCATCCCTCTAGTTGGAGTTAATGGTCTAGTCGCCTATATTCCATAAAAGGTTATGAGACAGTTTGGATACCCGCAAAGCATTCCCATGGTACAAGGGGTTCAAGATCTCAGATTGGGTACGGTGACCGAGAGTCGAAGTATGGTATTAGAGGCTTGAGGAAATTTGCAAGGTCTTGAGAATTTGCAGTTGGAATTGGTAAACAAGATGGCACCCGCAGTTATGCCTGGGTACAATGAATGGATCAAACAAAAGGTGGAACATGATAGAGCAAAGCAACAATCAGCATCAGCCAGTCCCGAAGAACAAATGGAGAAGCTAAGGAAAGAACTAGAGGAATCTCAAGCTCAGCTTATAATGGCCAACAGAGTTTTAGAGGATACCCAAGTGCAGTTGAGGAGGGAGAAGAAGAAGAATGAGAAACTAGAGGAAGCCATAGACGCCCTTGATAGGATTAGGGAAGGAGCTCGCAAGCTCAATTTAGGGAGCTCTAGAGAGTCACAAAGTACAAGTCTCTTGAGACATAGGGATTTTGTAAACATTGTTACTAAGACCATTGACGAGGTTGTAAAGAAAGATTGAACTCTTCCACATTTTTATGAGAAGCTTTCCATTTCAAAGTTCTAAATTCACTTACAGGTTTGGAAATGGGATTTTACCCCGAAGGCTTGCATCATGCTAGGCCTACCCTTGGCACAAAAAGGGTCCCCCCATAGGACATGCATCTGAATTGTTTGAACAATTACTAACTCATGTCTTTTTCTTTTTTTTCTTTTGAATAAGTTGCAGAAATCTAGTAACGATTGGTTTATCTAAAGATGTCTTTTGCATCCTCAGGTAAAGTTTCAAAATAGCTTCTCGAAAAAGCCCCATTATTATGCGATCCCGAAGTAAAGCCCAAAGGAATCATATAGACATGAGTACTCAGCCAAAATCGTCTGATAAGACCGCTGCAACTACCCAGCCGGAAGCCACAAGTCTCGGGGTTCAGTTGACTGAATTACTCACTAAATTTGGGGAAATGGCATCTGAAATGGCTGCCCAAAAGAAGTTGATCGACGAGCTCATTAGTAGCAGAGTGCAGCCTGAGCCTGTGCCCGCCAAACAATCGGAATTCGAACCATTTGTCATTCCTCCAATTCAAACCACTTTTGAAGGAGTTTTCAACCCGCAGTATACTTATACTCAAAATCCTCCGTTCTATCCTCCCTATGAGCAAGGATTTCAGCCTCAAGGTGGTCCAAACATGCCTTTGGATCCACAAGCTTTTTATCAGACTACCGCAGAGCCTGTTGTGCCAGAGCACACTGTTCAAACCAAGCCAGAAGTGGGAGAATCGTCTGCCCCGGTGGATATGAAGCTACTCAAGCGGTTGGATCGTTTCGATGAGTTCATCAGGAAAAGTCAAGGTTTAAGCAAACAAGGGGTGTTAGACTACGATGATCTGTGTCTGTTTCCAAATGTACAACTGCCTGTGGGGTTCAAGACCCCGAGGTTCAATAAATATGATGGTACAGGCAACCCTAAGACACACTTGCGTTTGTTTGCCAACAAGTTGGGCAGACCGGTGGATGACGAAAACTTGCCATTAAGGTTATTTCCAGAGAGTCTAGAAGGAGACGCCCTCGATTGGTATTCAAACTTAAAGTCAGAGGCGGTGAAGACTTGGCTTGATCTATCCAACGTCTTCATCAGACAATACGAATATAACTGCAAGCTAGCACCGACCAGAACTACTTTGGAAGGCACGAAGAGGCGACCATCTGAAGATCATAAGACATACGCCAAAAGATGGAGAAAGATAGCTGCCAAGGTTGAGCCTCCGATGACCGAAGATGAGATTGTTCGCACTTTTATAAAGGCACATGATCCTCAACACTTTGAAGAAATCTTCCGTATGACCGGATGTTCATTTGCTGCGATTGTGAATAAATTCGAAGAGTATGATGATTTTGTGAGATCCGGAAAAATTATTAACGTCTCTGCCTTAAAATCACAAGTAGAAGCTTTGCAAGGGCAAGGGAGTAGTGGAAAGAAGCCGCAGTTTAAAAAGAAAGAGGGGGATGCAACTTTTATCTGGAACTAGAACCCTTCACCCAGCCCCCGATACCAACACAATCCAACTTACCAACCACCTTACCCTTATTATTCAAACTCGTACCATGTATATACTATCAATATCAACCACCCTCGACCTCACCCAAGCTATGCTAACCCACCTTCAGCCCCTTTTCAAATTTCTCAATCAAATCCACCCCAAAACCGATCTCGCCCTCCATATAACCCAAGATTTCCTCCCCCAAATAGACCTGTTTACAACCATCCTCAACCTCCTGAACCTTACAACCGAACCCCTAGCCGTACATTTACCAATTTAGGCAGGCCTCTAGACCAATTGTATGACCAATTGAAGGCCGTCGGAAAAATTGGTATGGTACCCCCTCCTACCTATCCATATGGCATGCCCGCTTGCTATAACCCACAAGCTGTCTGTGCTTATCATTCAGGGGCACCCGGACATTCAATTTTGGATTGCAAGGCTCTTAAGCATAAAGTTCAAGATATGATTGAAGTCGGAGAGATTGTAATTAGGAAAAGGGAGGCACAAGGGCCGAATATAAATAGGAACCCCTTGCCGGAACATACTAATACCATTGGGGTCATTCTGGACGACACAGAGTATGACAATCTAGTCCAAAAATTGGCAAGGGAAGTTGAGGTGTTTGGGGTCACAGACCAACCATTTGTAATAGAAGATGAACCGTTTGAGGAGGATAAAAGACCTTTTATTTTAGATCTCACTCCAGCTGAGAGCGAGGCTTTGGAGCCAGTGGTCATCGAATTCCCAAAACAGGCGCCTGTTCTAAGTTTGCAGCAAGTGCCATGGAATTACAATGAACCTGTCATACAAATTGGAAAAAAGTCAGTTGCCAAAGAAGAGGTGTCAGCAGTCACTAGATCAGGGAGAATTGCAAGTCCGTTTGGAGCTACCGTTCCGATTCAAACAAATAACCCTGAGCTGCCCGCTAAACCAACAATTACTGAGAAGGAAGCCTTGGATTTTCTTAAAAGGCTCCAAAGAAGCGAATATAATGTAGTCGACAGGCTAAGCAAGTCGCCCGCCCAAATATTCATGTTGGATATACTTTTTTCTTCTGATATGCATAGGGATGTGTTGCTCGAAGTGTTGACTAAAGCTCAAATCCCTAAAAACATTTCGGTTGCTAATTTCTCACATGTAGTTGGGAATGTATTATCTATAAAATAAATCACTTTCTCTGATGATAAATTACCGGCAGAAGGCATTGGACATAACAAAGCTCTGTACATAACTGTGAGGTGCAACAGGAAAATGTTGCCAAAGGTGTTGATTGACAATGGATCTGCGCTTAATATCTGTCATTGGAGTACCTTGGAAAAGCTAGGATTGCAAGATATCAAGCTAAGGCGTTCAGGGACCATAGTTAGAGGTTTTGATGGAGCACAAAGAGAACCTATAGGAGAAGTGGATTTAGTAGTCGAGATGGGGCCCGCGCAGTTTCAAATAGCCTGCCAAGTTATGCACTTTCCTAGTGTTTACAATGTTTTGCTTGGACGTCCGTGGATTCATAAGTCCGGGGCTGTGCCGTCTTCATTGCATCAATTGTTGAAATTCATAGTAAATGACAAATTGATAACTATCTTTGCCGAGGAGGATTGCCTCGTAATTGCTGATTCTGGGTCCGAAGAAGATGGTAGCCGAAACGCCACAGTGACCCCTCATAGCACAGCTGATATCGTCTCCGTAAGTTGGATAACAAAAGAGGAACGAGCTGTGTCAAAAGCCAGTGTCATGATGGCCAAGGAAATGATCCGCGGAGGATATGAGTCTGACAAAGGGCTGGGACGTGATCTACAAGGAATTCTGAAACCAGTGAAAATTGTGGAGAAGAAGGATTCATTCGGTTTGGATTTCCGACCAACCGCTAAAGACATCAAAGAAATGAAGGAACGCAAGAGAGCAGAGAAAGAAGGCAGGCAAAAGGCCTTTGATATTCCACCACTGCATTATACTTTTCCACGACCAACCAAGGTGATCACGTCAGAGATTAACCCAGTTGACGAAATCGAAACTAGTTTGGCCCAATTGTTCGTTGGGGCAACATTTGAAGACAGTTTTCCAGATGAGCCCGAGTTTCCCGACATCCCTGAAGGATCAATTTCCAATTGAACAGCCGAGTTTCTGCCCATTCAGAAGGAGTTTCGGTAAAACTAAAGGGGTTTGTCATTCATGCGAAAACATGAAAATACTTCTGCATCTGTAAATAGCTAATGAAAGCATCTTTATCTTTGACTAAAATTTGCACATGTAAATATTGTTTTCGCTTGCTTTCTTTTTGTTTTCGCTTTCAATCAAAGGTTTTATGAAAATGCACAAGTGGTTCTTATCATGTTGTTTTGTTTATTCGTTGGTCATATTGCTTATTCATTTGTTTGTTGTATATTTGTTTGCTTATTATCCCACATTCGTTAATTCTTTCAGATGGCCAAAAATAAAACTATTTGACCCTTTGGATATCACTATTCTGGAATTCAATAATGGCAATCTTTATATCACTCACGACTTGGAGGTCTGGGAATCTGAGCTTCAAAGCGAGAGTGATAATGAGGAGGTATTCGATTCTTTTGCAAAGGACTTTGAACAATATGAGGAGAAACCAAAATCGAACCTGGAAGAAACAGAAAAGGTTAACATTGGTACTAAAGATGAAGTTAAGGAGGTGCAAATTAGTATTCATTTGAATGAGAGGCAGAAAAAGGAGATGCTTGAATTCTTGACTATGTTCCAAGACGTATTTGCATGGTCCTATGATGACATGACCGGTATTTCAACTGATGTGGTAGTGCATAAGTTACCCACAGACCCTACTTTTCCACCCGTAAAGCAAAAACCCCGAAAATTCAAACCAGATATGAGCCTCAAAATAAAAGAGCAAATAGAAAAACAACTCAAAACCAACATTATCATTGTTTCCCATTACCCTATTTGGCTTTCGAACCCAGTCCCTGTTCCAAAAAAGAATGGAGAGGTGCGAGTTTGTGTTGATTATAGAGACCTCAATAAGGCCAGTCCTAAAGATGATTTTCCTTTGCCAAATATTCACATTCTCTTGGACAATACCGCTGAGCATGAGATTGAATCTTTTTGTGATTGCTTCGTTGGATACCACCAGATTTTGTTGGCAGAAGAGGATAGGGAGAAGACTGCTTTTATCATCCCTTGGGGCACATTTTGCTACCGAGTGATGCCCTTTGATTTAAAGAATGCCGGAGCTACGTATCAAAGGACCATGACCACTCTGTTTCATGATATGATCCACCGGGATATGGAGGTCTACGTGGATGACATCATAATCAAGTCTAAAAGGGCAGAGAACCATTTGGTTGATTTGAAGAAACTGTTCGAAAGGTTGCGAAAGTACAATTTGAAACTAAATCCTGCAAAGTGCGCTTTTAGGGCACCAGCTGGTAAATTGTTGGGCTTCATTGTTAGTTAAAGAGGCATAGAGATAGATCCAGCGAAAATCAAAGCAATTCAAGATATGCCAGTGCCGAAAACTCAGAAGGATGTGAAAAGTTTTTTAGGAAAGATCAATTTTATTGGAAGATTCATTGCCCAACTAACTGCCACATGCGAGCTGTTGTTCAAATTGTTGAGAAAGAATGTGTCATTGTATTGGAGTAAAGAATGCCAACAAGCTTTTGATAAGATCAAGGATTATTTGTTACATCCGCCAGTCTTAGTACCACCCAAACCGGATCGACCATTAATCATGTACCTAACTGTGCTTGAAGAAGCAGTTGGTTGTGTTCTCGGGCAGCATGATGACTCCGGAAGGAAGGATCAAGCCATTTACTATCTAAGCAAAAAGCTCACGCAGTATGAGGCTAATTATTCATTCATTGAGAAAAGCTGCTGTACATTGGCCTGGGCAGCTCAAAAGCTGAGACACTACCTGTTGAGCCATACCACTTATCTTATTTTCCGATCTGATCCTTTGAAGTATCTCTTGGAGAAGCCGATGCTAACTGGACGTCTGGCTAAATGGCAGATAATTCTCTCAGAGTTCGATATTGTTTTCACTTCACAAAAGGCTGTCAAGGGGCAAGATATAGCGGATCATCTGGCAGAAAATCCAAAGGATGATGATTATCAACCACTTTATACTTATTTCCCTGATGAGAAAGTCTTATTTGTAGGCGCCACAGACGATATTAGTGAACAAAGCCCTGAATGGAGGCTTTTCTTCGATGGAGCTTCGAATTCTCTCGGAGCTGGAATTGGAGCTGTTTTGGTTTCACCCGAAGGGAAGCATTACCCTGCCGCTGCTAAATTGCAATTTGCTTGCACAAACAACATGGCAGAATATGAAGCCTGCATTTTTTGTCTCAAAATGGCTTTAGAAATGGGAATCAAAGAGTTGATAGCTTTCAGTGATTCAGATTTGTTCGTGCACCAAACCTTGAAGTAGTGGATAACCAAAGATTCAAAAATTCTGCCCTACCATTGTAGTCTGCTCACTCTGGCCAAGCAATTTCAAAATTTGGAGTTTAGACATCTCCCGCGAGCCCGAAACGTATTTGCTGATGCTTTAGCCACCTTAGCTTCTATGATCCAGTATCCAGATAAATTGAGGATCGAACCAATCCAGATTCAACTTCAAGACAAACCTGCCCCACTGTTGGGTTGTAGACAAGTCCTCTGACAATATTCTTTGGTATAATGACATTAAGGAGTTTCTCAAAACTGGGTCTTACCCTCTGCATGCTAGTACAAATGACAGGAGTTTTCTGCGTAGAATGGCTTCAAAATTTTTCTTAAGTGAAGAAGTTTTGTACAAAAGAACCTCAGATTTGAACTTTTTAAAGTGCATTGATGAAAACGAAGCTCAATATATGATGAAAGAAATGCATAGTGGCGTTTGTGGACCTCACATGAATGGTCATTTGCTAGCAAAGAAAATCATGAGGACCGGATATTTCTGGCTTACTATGGAGCGTGATTGTATAGATTTTGTCCGGAGATGTATAAAATGTCAAATGCACGGTGACATTATACACGCTCCACCCACTGAATTGCATAGCATGACCGCCCCATGGCCCTGTTCAATATGGGGTATGGACGTGATTAGTACAATTGATCCTTTCGCTTCAAATGGACATCAATTTATATTGGTGGCAATTGAGTACTTTACTAAATGGGTTGAAGCGGAGTCATTCAAACATGTAACGAAGAAGGTAGTTGCCAATTTCTTGAGAGATCACATCATCTGTCGCTTTGGAGTACCCGAAACGCTTATTACAGACAATGCCAAGAATCTGAACAATGACCTGGTAGATGGACTATGCGAGCAGTTCAAGATCAGACATCGCAACTCTGCCATTTATAGGCCTCAGATGAATGGAGCTGTAGAAGCCGCAAACAAGAATTTGAAAAAGATTATCCGCAAAATGACTGAAAGGCATCGCGATTGGCATGAAAAGTTGCCTTATGCATTAATGGCATATCGGACTTCTATCCGGACATCGACTGAGGCAACGCCATATTCCCTCATGTATGGAATGGAAACTGTATTACCAGCTGAAGTTGAAATTCCTTCGCTACGAATCCTCATGGAAGCTAAATTGGAGGAGGCTGATTGGATGAACCAGCGCCATGAGCAATTGACTTTGATCGATGAAAAGCGGCTCAATGCTATCTGTCATGGTCAGTGTTATCAGAAACGTGTGGCCTGGGCTTACAATAAAAAAGTCCATCGGCGTGCATTTGAAGAAGGTGACAAAGTACTAAAGCGGATTTTGCCAATGCAAGATGAAGCTAAAGGCAAATTTGCTCCAAATTGGCAAGGGCCATTCATTGTCCAAAAGGTATTACCTGGCGGAGCACTTATTTTGGCAGAAATGGATGGACGAACATTCCCTCAACCCATCAACTCGGACATGTGCAAGAAGTTTTTCATTTGATCATGCAAATTTTCTTTAGAAATTCATGCAAACGGCGAAATGCAAGTCAGTCCATCTTCTTTTACACTTAAAACATTTTATCCCTACTTGTCCCCTTTGAGCCATCAGAATTGACAAATTTTCGCTTGATAACCCCTGAGAATTGCAAACCCCACACTGGGGCAAATTTATGTTGAAAGAGAGATGATCAAAAAGAAAAGAGAACCCCACAATGGGGCAAATTTAGTTTTAAAAAAATGCAAAAGTGAGGAAAATGCAATGCAAAGAGAGAAAATTCGATCAAACTGAGGCAAATTTTCCTCAGTTTCGTTCAAAATTGAAGACGATTTCAAAGTAGTGCAATCTCAAGTCATTTCACACCTCGCATCAAAATTTGCTTTCAAGCCTCAACTTGTCTTGAAAAACACCCCACCTGACCTCATTACAAAGCCCAAAGTCCTGGCTTTCGTCACTTGTGGTATTTCTATTAGGAAATTTGTTAATTAACTGGCAAGTGATGTCCATAATGCCTTCGCCTAATCTCACAAGAGAAGTGCATTTTATTGATGCCAGAAATCTTTAACTCATGTTTCTGAGTCGATCATGGTCGAGATATTCCATTGTTCGTTAGGTGAAAACCCGAAAGGGCGCCTCGAAAAAAAAAAGAAGAAAAAAAAAGAAAAAGGGAAAAAAGAAAAAAAAAAGAGAAAAGACAAAGCAAAAACAAAAAAGGGTGGGGGCAACCTTGGTGAAAACCCGAAAGGGCACCAAGGCAGGTTTTCTCAGACGACCACGAGAAGGAACAACTGGTGACCTGGTTCATTTAGACTTTTCCTCATGTTTGTGATACTTCTGCCAGAATCGAATTCCGAAGCAAATATATCCAAAGGCTTGAACATGATATTTGTTGGCCAAATTTGTATTTTTCTTTACAAATATTCTTTTGCAAAATGTATTTTTCTAAATCTCTTGGTTTCTCTCGATTATTTCCGTTCGACTGCTTGTGGTTGTCTGCATTCTTTTGCATGCTCATCTTTGCCTGACATAGGAAATCATCTTGCATATATCATTTGTTTTTATGTGACAAATTTTTCATGCATCATTCTTTCACCATTGCATTCGAATGGATGATAAACCCTAAGGTTTGTGCAAGGATAGAGGATTCAATCATCTATTAAAGTGAGTAAAATGCAACAAAGCTGCTACCTAGATTTGGTGACGTGGTAA